AAAAGATTGGACTGCACATGCGCTGCGGTAGCGCTGCACAAGTCTGTGGAATCGTTGCGCAAGAAGATTCCATTAGAGCAGCAGATTGTATTTGTCCACATAGGTGTATAGTTAGACTCGATTCGCTATATCATTCCATTTGCTGTATCTCTAGTAGTTTTCGTTCCCTCACTCTGATGTTGCTTACTTATTTCTGCATGATACTTTGTTGTTCTGTACTGTATTGGTGCCACGTACCACGTCCCGTGGGATAAATGTGATCCACTCCTACATCATCCCAGTTGTCGTTAAGCGCGGCTGTAGCATATGATTCGGCGAGTGGTGAACATCAGGTACCAAATGTGAACACATTGACGTGAATGTCTCCAGGAGCAGGCTCCTTCCCACCACTGGTGGAGAGGTAAGGGTGGCGTCTATTAGTGCGGGTAGTGAAGGCTTAGTAAACCGGAAACATGCGCAAATCTTTCAAACCCAGCCGAACCTTATCCACCCAACCTTCTCCACCAGCGGCTGGCACAAAACGTTTGTAAACAACGTCAGCCACAGTCGGGAAACCCAGAAAGAGACGGCGGAGGTTCAATTTAGATATTGTATTGCTAACGAATTTATATATATATCAATCAATATGTCATTATCTGACCCAGTGGACGATGTTCTTGAAACCCTGCAGCGCGTCGGCATTTCAGCTTCAGAATTTATACTGGTGCTTCTCTCGAGTGAAAAATATAGCACTCATCTGGCTGTAAAAGATATACTCTCGAATGGACGTGAAATTGTTAATGCTCTTACAAAACAAACTTCAAGTACTCTATTGAATTGGGCTACCGATATTACGAAGGACATCTGCGCACAGGAGATCCTTAACCTTACTGCTAAGGGTAGCGGAACTCATTTCGATGTGACACACATTACAGTGAAGCAACTGGAGGATTTTAGGGTGGCCGAGTTAGCCATAATCATGGAGAATTATGCGCCAGTAACATGGAACTTACTCGACAGCATGCTGTCTGCGAGAACACAATCTAATACAACAATTGGGAGAGATCATGATGGTGACGTCATCATGGAAACTAGCAATAGTGATGAAGAGGCTTACTGGGAGGAAGTTGGGGAAGGAGATCTCGAGGGATCGTTGATATCAAGCCTTGCCAACAACACGGAATCTGAGAGAACCAAATTGCAAAAACAACGGGCAGCAAAGACCTTGCTTGTGTGTTATTTCACCACCTTCCAGATCAATATTACTGACATTGCTATATGTAATCAAGAAAAAAATCACCGTTCTGAGCATTATGATGAGAAGCACAAATCAGCGTTCAAATACCTTGCAAAGTCTACTCGGGATGTTCCTACAATCAACGCACACACCACAAAAAGTCATCGAAACACTGGAGCGGATGGGTATATCAGTGTCCGTAAATGCTATTCTTTCCGGGACGCAATCGTTAGCAGCGCAAACCCACCAACATCTCCGGTCACTCAGTCGGTCACTTCTTGCGGCATATGCCTATGACAACTTTGACGTAGACCTGAAAACCCATGAGCACAAGATCGAAAACTCAATGGAAACTCTCAAGCATCTAACATCAGGTCTGATGTTCCCACTGCAGCACAACGTCTCCAAGGAAGACCTTAGGTGTTCCGAAGTGTTGTGGAAGATGTCGCCATTTAATACTCGAGCAGAGCTACCACCAAAGAAGGGATGGGCGGATCTGCTCATTCTTCACATGGACACACCTGATGACACAGGTCTTAGCCGCCGTGATAGATTTAATTCATGGAAGTTTCTCTCGGACCTCATCTCATATGGCCCTCCATACTTTTCTCAATTCTGCGACAAACTTCATGAACCCGAGACCATTGAAGCCATCCCCATCACCAGAATGCCGATTGTTGCTACATCTGCAATGGATATCAGTAATTCTACCGTCACAGGCAATATACAAAGCATTGTTAACCTGCTTCAGCAGGGCGGAATTGAAGATCCTGTGGTTGTTGATGATCCTGGCATGCCTGACATCTCAGAGTACGTGGTTCTCTTCCACGGTGACCTTGGGACAGGGGAACGTCTTCAATCTGCCCAGCAGCGTCGAGGAATTGAAAACACACCGTGGAACCGCTTACAACACATTATATTCATCCCCGGCCTTTTCCATTTGAAGATGGCAGCCGCGGACACAATCTGGCGGATATTCCTGCAGCCAAGTGCAGCGTGACTCGATGAAACAAGCCTCATGCGAGATATAGGTATCTTGCGACCAAAGGAAACTGGCCACTATGGGTCCAAGCCGGGGTTCCGTCGTATGCATGAACTAATCATGTACAACGGTATATGTCGTCGCCTTGATTGTTGGAGAGTCGAGGTTGCGAAACGTGACCCAAAGTGGACAAGTCTGGAGGAATTCGCAGCATCAAAACCAACTTTTGACAACATCGAAGCAATGGCACGCACCCTCGCTCGTAACTACATTGCAGGTCACCAACTTCGGCGCATGCGACACATACCGGCAGCTCAATGAGATGCGCAACATGAGAATGGACTCCTCTTGAACAGGTACATGCTTTTATACGAGGAGCTGTCATATGCGATGAATACTGGAGACATTGGAAGGGTCGAGACTTGCCTTTTTACATGGATCCCCATGTTTAAGGCTACAGGAAAACACAAATACGTGAACACTATGACAGACTTCTTGTGCAAAGTACACTTCGTGTATCCTGAAGGATTGAAGTAAGCGTTTTGAAACATCTTCATCTACTCAAGACTTACAAAGATTGGCAGACGAGCCGTTCGCTACCACATCATGGTCAATCCAACCGGGAAGAAAGGAAAATTTTGGGGAGTTGACTGGTGCGTCGAGTTGAACAACCTTTTCACAAAGGTGCGCATACCTCGTCATCATTACAAATGCGAGTCAGTAAAGAGTTGCAGGTTGTCAATGGAGGAAAATCATCAAACCACACTGTTTCGAGGATTATAATGGAATCCCCACTCATCCAGATATACCGGAATTTGCATACAATGTTCCAGAATGACTTCCTGCATGCTCACCAAACTACGAAACACGCAGAAGCGAATATGTCGAAAATGTTCCAAATCCTATGCGGACACATGGCAAAACACTCTGTAAATGAAGTAGTAAATGGGCACAAAAGCCAACACAGTATCCCTGACATACTCGCCAAGGGACAGGAGTTGATGGCAAAGAGTAGCATCGATAATGAAGACGGAGGGGAAGGTGAGGATGAGTGTCCATCAGTTGACGATGTTGCTGTTGAATTAGTCTGGCAGTAGGTAAGATATATGATGGATGTATATATATTAATATGATGGCTGCGGGCCATACTCCCCATTCTTGCAAGACGCTGAGACGGTTGCAGAACTCCCATACTCCCCATTCTTGCAAGACGCTGAGACGGCAATAGGTTTTCAGAACTCCCCTTTCCTGCAAGACGCTGAGAACTCCCCTTTCTTGCAAGATGCTGAGAATTACTTACATATGATTCTATGTGCTCTGTGTGAGATTATCAATACCTACCGTTTTTGCAAGACGCTGAGAATTACTTACATTCTCCTTCCCTGCTGCGGAAGATATCCGCGATGGATGCATTTGACAGACACGACCACATTCTGGTCAGGTAGAGTCAGTGGAGATAAGGAGAAGTAATACAAAAACTTACTGTTATGACCTGTCTGGCCACAAGCGCTGCACTTCTGCACCTTTTTGACATCGGCTGGTGGACCATTTGACGCAACTAGCCTACTGTTTGGTGCGTGGACAATGGTAGATAGAGGGCATTGTTGTAGGGGGGCAGTTGTATAGAGTGAGATTGGAATGATGCAGTGGATTATAGCGATCACCTCCTTGGCCAGGTCGTCATTGACAGACCAATGTGTTTCCTTGCGGAGATCCTTGGCGACCTTAATCTTCTGAAAATGGGCGCAGTCAACAATCCGATCAAGGACCATGTCACCCATCACAACAGTTGGACCAAGATCAATTAGGTGTGAACGTCCATATATCTCCACTGTCTTCTGGTCTCTCCAATCCTCCAGCGCTTTGCACAATTTGTGCTCCTGTGATTCCATGGTATACTTTGCAAGTCGAGAGCGCATGGGAAGTCTGGGTGGTTGGTAGGCAACGATAGGATCGAATGACGAGAATGCTAAAGGGTGATGGATGTCACAGCACACTTTAGAATTTGTTGGGGCACAACGTGAGCAGCCTTCTTCGTCTGATGGGTCGCATATAAGGTGACTCGAATCTATACAATTATTATGGCAATTATTAATCCAGTTAAAAAAGTCTTACCCGCTGATCCATTGTCAAATTGGATATTAAATACCTTCCGCCGACACCCAACACCATGATAATTGGCGTTGATTAGCAAGTCCATTGCCTGATCCAATTCTTTTTCTTTCTTCTGCCTTGACACCCTTTCTAATCTGCTTGCTGGTGGTCTCATCAATTCCCTCAACTGTGCATCAGTAACTATAGGTGTGTTTGCCGTTGAACCACTACTAGTAGCCTGAGCTCCATCACCTTCTTCAGGGTGCGCAATACCAACAGTGGTGGAACTGTCAATTACACGACGTTTAGCAGGTGGTTGATTATCAGGTGCGCTTGTTGCTTTCTTTTTACGCTCCTGACGCTTACGCTTATCATCGCGTACATCGTCGAAGTACTCTTTTTCGGCAAACAGCAACGCAGTCCCTTCCAGCAAGCGATCTCGGGCTGCACGACCGAACCGCTGCCAAAGGGCAGACAGCTTGCATGACGCTCGCCACTGAACGACCAAAGCCACATCCGGTACATCCATTCCCTGTACATTAATCAATACCTCCTTGACATTTTGATTTCAGCTTGCGTCCCTTACCATTCCAAATGCCTCTGTGGTACAGAGACCCCACGTATCTCCCACAACGAGGTTTGTAACTTCGGCCTCCTTAAATTCAGTAGTCATGTCGGAGTTGAACCATTTGACTTTGTCTCGTAGATCTGGCGGAAGACGTGCCCGTAAGTACTTCGCAGCGCTTATTCCGCCTTGGATGCTGTCGAAGAAAACGAGAAATTTCGGTGGTGGTGGATCATCTAACATCATGCCGGTGAAGGTACAACAATTCAGATGGTGAGTCTGAACAATGTGTTGGGTCTTGCAGAACCTAGCTGCTATTCGACCCTAAAGGGTTTCTGGACCAGGCTCAAGGCTCAGAGGAGAGGAAATATCATAAAAACTTGCTGATCTCTCAGACTCATACTGGTAACTGGTGAAAAGATTGCTTGATTATGTAAGCTACAAAAGTGCCAACATAAGGTAAGGTAAAAACAGTCTCTACAAGCCCAACCAGAAATGAATCCCTACACCGGTAGGTATGAGGAACGCGAGATCTGCATAGGACATAAGGGAGTATTTGATTTTGCGAACTCTGATCCTTATATTTGGACGATCAGTGGATACATGGATGGTGGCGAGATTTTCGGATTGAATGTGCAGGAGCCTACGTATGTCTCTGAGAGCATCTGATGTGAGTGTTGCTGATGTGACCATGAAAGGTACCTGGCAAGGTAAGATGTAGTGCAAGCGCTCTAATTCCTTGTACTCTGCCCGAAATTCTCCCCAAGTCACAATGCAGTGAGCTTCGTCAAAGATGATACCAATTAACTTTGAGGCGAAATCAACATTTCGCAACAGCTTCTCAAATGCTCCGCCTGGCTTCATCAATTGTTCTGGGCTGGTTATGATTGCACGGTAACACAAGTCTTCTATTCCCTGCAGTGAACACATTGATTAATTGCTCATAACAGATACTCTTGAACTTACAGAGAAATTTGCCATGCTCGCTGTCTCAGCAGAGATTGAGATGCTTTTTATACCAGTCTTTTCGAGGAAACTGACGCTTTGTTGCCCTAGTTGGTTGAGTGGAGTCACGACAATCAGAATGCCTGTGTCCCGGAGTGCTAATGGTGACCAGAAGGCAAGTGTTTTACCCATCCCTGTCCCTGCGATGCAGATAATATCACGGTCATTTTGCAGGAAAGCATCTGCGACTTTGAGTTGCCACAAGCAGGCTCTCTTGCCAAAACAATTATGGAGCTTCTCTTGGATAGCAGAGAAGCTAGGGGCTTCAGCCGGCATGAGACAGAAAAGGTCAATTTCTTGGGAACAAACCCATATAAACTATATATTTCACGATATATATTTTTACACTAAATTGAACCTCCGCCGTCTCTTTCTGGGTTTCCCGACTGTGGCTGACGTTGTTTACAAACGTTTTGTGCCAGCCGCTGGTGGAGAGGTTGGGTGGATAAGGTTCGGCTGGGTTTGAAAGATTTGCGCATGTTTCCGGTTTACTAAGCCTTCACTACCCGCACTAATAGACGCCACCCTTACCTCTCCACCAGTGGTGGGAAGGAGCCTGCTCCAGGAGTAGCAATGAATACGTCGTATTGCCAAAAGTTCTTTCTGCCAATCTGATACCGACTTCTATTTTGAAGAACGACAACTCCGTGAAATGAAGCGGACGTCGCCATAGTAGTAGATGAAAGAAGAGCAAAGAGGAAGACCAAACCATCAACGTGCAACAACACAGCACGACATGTTGGACACAATTGCACCCGATCCCAGCGCTATGATCTCGTGCTTAAATACTGTAGATATGGGAAGCAAGTATTTATCTAAGGAGTGTCTCTGAACCCCATCAGGTATTGCATAATCTGGAAGGAGGCCTGTAATGATCCATCTCTGCATTAGATGGTGTCTGCATGATAGCACTGTCAGACTTACCACTGGCGCAAACCCTGGAAGCCTAGTGCAGAAAACATGAGCAACGAGACCCTGCGAATTGTAGTGAACTTACATGTGTCCACTCAAGACTACTTCATAATAAGTGAGTCCCCGCTCTGAGTGCATCGACCCATAGGCACCCACACCATCGACAATGAAGCTGTCGTCGGCGATAGGCGTCTGGAATCCTTGCAAACCATTCCCTTGGAATATAATGAGTGAATCCTGGCGTACATGAAACATTACTAGTCACACACAGGTCATGCTACAGATGATCCCCATCGATTAAGGTGATACAGCTACGATCAAGAACGCACTTACTTTTGAATAGCAATTCTGTCTCTAAGTCATCAAATCATCGCGTCAGAATATACGAAGATTAGGGTCAAAATTGAAGTCATACCCATCAGCAATGTACATGAAGTCTGCGAGTCCGTGCACGATGACGGTCCGCTGGCTCTTCTCGATAACATTGGGTAATACAGTGGGTGCAGGGGGTAAGCTGCTGTCTTCGTGGAGGAAGACACGGGCCAAAGCGCATTCAACCCACTCGGTACCCACGGGCGCATGGATAACTTCCTTTACATCTGTTAGGTTGAAGTAGATTGGAGACTGCGTGTCTCTGGATCTGCGTCAGCTGCGCTGCATTGAGTCAATTGTTGAATGGCTTACAGAAAACCTAGGACATCCCATGGAGTCGGATACTTGGGAGGAAAAGAAGTTAATATGGTATTCATCAATACCCTCATCGACTCACAGTGTCCCAGATGCGATAGACATTAAAAGAGGGGTTGATCATCAGCGCATTAACGTAAATGTCGTCCCAGATACCGCAGCCTTTAGCAAAATTGGTAGAGTCTCCTGGCAGGGGAAGAAGACCTTTTGGAGGGTATGTGACGTACTTATCCATGTAGCCAGTGTAATTGCACGTCGCAGCCATCTCGTCGAGGTGGTCCATGTACGTTTGACTAGATATCAATTCGTGAGTGATCTGCGAACTAGGTCCAAATGAAATGGACAAACTTAAAAGAGAAGAGACTAGCGTGTTTTTTCACGAAGTCCAATGCAGGGATTTCCTGTTGCACTACATACCACGAGATCAAGGCTGAGCTTCACGTATGAGCCCTCGAGAAGAGACAGAGTAAGTCAAAATGTTAGTTACGATCATTGATCCATATCCCTTGCAACGAGAGGTCTAACAGAGTCGGGTTCTCGTAGATATAGTTTGCGATATCTTCATTTGTCTTAGAGTTACGTTCAAAGAAGATGACTGCTGACTCACAAGGCACGTATCTTCCAGCATACTGAATACGGTCAATACGATGTTTTACCACGCTCTCTGAGAACTTACACTTTCACCCGACAAATACAGCTTTTTACCTTTGAGTTCCGAAAAGACTTCAAGGAACTGCTGCATGAAGCCGACGACTTGAGCAGCAACATCATCCTCATTCTGTGCGTCCGGGATGCCTTGAGAAAATCCTGTACCGACAGGTTGCTCCACCCAAAGGACGGAGGACAGGTTGGTCCAGCTGTGTTGGTTCACCGTCGGTTTTGCCTGACCCCAGGACCAACTGAAAGGCTTCAAACATCTCAGTTTTGGATCGGTTTTGTTGTCAACAAAAAGGTTTACCCCATTCTCTTGCAGCAAACCTGCGAGGGAGGAGCATCCAGGTCCACCATTCGTCCTTGAAGTGGAACATGTCAGGTCAGCAGCGAAGAGCTTAGAGCACACCGCTTCTGATGACGCACCAAAAGATCAAATCATCAAGACTCCCTTGGGGGCCGGGAGGGAAAAACCAAAAAAAGAGCTGATACCCTTGATGTCAACGCTTGAAGAACGTGTATAGACTACTCAGGTACACACCTGACGCGTCTCATTAGGACTATTGCTGATGGGCAGAAGACCTGCCCAGCTAGGACCAACGTCGAAGTCAACAAGAGGAAGATATTTGCCATCGACGTAAAATTCTGGACGAATTAGACATGAGATATTTACTTGTAGCATTTTAGTCACCTGAGGCCTTTGGGTTGGTGAATGTGATATTCTGAACACCATCGCTCTTTACGTTCTGAGGGCCACTAGTCTGCCAACGTTTTACTGCCTCGAGTCGGTGTTCCTTCACCTCCTGCATAGTCATCAAACGACCGCTGGTGGTGGCCACTGCGAGCAGAGTCGCAAACACGGCACTGAGAAGACGCATCACGGTCCAATAAGCTAAGAGTTCGTGAGGGGGAAATGGCGAGTCGTATCTAAAATACGTGTTTCTGGAATGAACATTCAGATAAATCAAGTGTATACGAGGCTGATCGCCATAGGAGGGAATGGGTGCGCTCAAGTGGCGGAATTGCTGAGCCGAGTTCTACCAACCGGTTTGGCTGAATTAGTAGTGCTGGCAGTCGGCATTCAAAACTTCTGTTCGAGAGCAGAACCTCGCAGAACCCCAGGCTCAGCAGAGCAACAAGACATTACTGTTGCTATAGCTGGACAAATTCCGGCGTAATAATTAGGCCTATGCGTTGACTGTGTGCCTCCGTACTATGCAGAGCAAATGGAAGAAGGATGGTCGTCAATTCCGGATTTAGTGAAAACAGGTGAAAACAACGATCAACAAGCGACAATTGTACACTAGTACCCTGCCGAAAACAAACAACTTGAATCTGCTATTCCAGTACTGGTCCATCTGTGGAAACAATCGTCCGCGTCATGTGTCGGATCAATCCATCGAGATTCCATGTGGTGATAGCGTACACCAAAAGCTCATGAATGACGCCCCATTGCGTCTCGAGTTTGATACCACTGCAGTCTCGAGATGAGTGTCAGTAAATGGAAGTTCTCACCTTTCTCCGTGGCTAGGTCCCAACAATGGATCCTTATCTCCTCTTATCCAGCATGCGTCATTTCTTGGGAGTTAGATCGGTGTAGGCTTGCTCGTACACACGACTTCGGTCATAGCCCCGAGGAAGCTGACTGATTCTTGACGAGGCCACGCCTGGATGCGGTGACACTGAGGGGTGAACGATACGGGACGTTAGCGACACCTAGTCCTGACCCTGAAGATGACGCGGTGTCAGTGGCAGTCCAGAGGATAAAAATGGACCGTACCCTCCAAGGAGGACCTTTCTAGGCCTTGGCAGGCCACAACATATCCAGTTGGAGTGAGATCGTCTTCTGGTGAAGTAAATTTCTAGGTATGTGATACGATCGTCTGCCACCGCACCACCACCCTTTCTGCGAGTGTAGTTATTTGCAATGTTTGGCTGACACCATTGGCAGTGATAGATCTCCTCCGGTATCATTGTCACTTTTTTAGAGCGCAGCCCGATAACGGGGGGCTGAGCCAGGCCGATGAAAAACGGTCACAAAAATATATGGTATTACAACTCAGCCCAACGGCGAACTGGTGTTATTGGACAAATCCTGCTACAGTGCCGTAGCTAATGCAACGTAAGTAATACACATGTTGGGACATGGTTACTTATAAGGCAACTTATTGATCGATGGGTTTAAGGTTGTCCGTATCAAGGAGACAATGCACGGTCAATTCCGTTATCTTGCAGGGAGCCTTTACTTCGCATTTCAATTGCATTATCGTTGTCGTGTCTTCCACTATTATTTGGATCGACGCCTGTTATGTAAGTACCAGTCGATGGAATGTAACAAGAGCCCATTTTCGTTTTCCCCTTGTTTCCGGGCACATCCTACTAGAAGTGCCGCACTTGACTTGACACAATTTCATTTCATAGGAACAGACTGGTTGTCCCTGTGACAAATATGTCGAGGCTTTATATATGTGAGTTGTGCTTCGTGCTGTTTGAGGGCTCTGATGTGCATCCTGCACCAAATGAAAGTCAAAAAGGTACAAGATATTATTGGTACAAGCGTGTGATTACGCATTCATGACATTCAGTAAGTTCAGTCTAGTCTAAAATTCAGGGTGACGGATGCCCTCTAACTGCCAATGTAACGTGCTTGACGAACCCAGCAACCCCCCTCAACCTGACTGACACTGCTCGCAGTAGTAATAGTACTGTCGCCAACCAACTCAGATCGACTGCGCTGTTGAATTGAATCGCGGCACTTACCAAGTCGGGAACGGTGTAGCAGCAAGCTGCTAGGTAGCCACTTGCACAAGTTTCTGCGTAGCTTTGACACTCCTCATCGTTTACATTGCCCGGTTGAGATGGATCCTTTACAATGCAGGTAAGCACAAATGTATTCCGCCATTTATTAATTTCTCTCACCTCCTGGCAGCAGCGAATTGTACCTGAACCACAGTCAGTCGAATGACTCGACGCGTTAACACTGGCTTGCAAACAGAGGAGCAAGATGGCAGAAAACAAAAAGACAC